GGATGTTCTTTTGGCCACATCCTTTTTGCTTTCAGCCCTGTCCATCAATAGTATGTGGACTCTAAGACATTCTCCATAAGGAATTTGGCCCCTGGGCTGAAAGAGATTCCGCACCTCAATCTAGGACATTGCTTACTCTTTAAATGGCATTCTTAGCAAGACTCCTTCCAAGTGTTCCAAACCAAGTGGAAAGGTAAAGAGCCTAATCATTTATGTTATAACCAAGGCTTGTTGTCAAGTTCTACCTGATTCTTACTTGAAGCTAATATTATTTATTTCATTATTACAAAAGAATATAAATAAAGTTCTAAAAATGTGCAGATATTAAATGAGAAGAAAACAGAAGTACTTTGGAGGCCTGGGTTTCATCCATGGTGATCAGCAATCCTGAGTTAAGACAAAGCAAAAATTGCAGTAATATTTATTTATTTATTTATTTATTTATTTATTTATAGGACTTCTATGCCGCCCCATTCGCCGAACCCTTGGGGCGGCTCACAATCATAAATAGATAATATAAAACAATATAATTTAGCAGTATAACAGTAAAATTTAAGTCGCCCTGGCCGACTTAAACTTAAAAATATCAAGTTTTAGAATAGGCCAACATCTAAATAATCAGCATTAGACCAAAATACACAAGCTGTCAGAATGCAAAAATAAATCCCACCAATCCTTTGTTTAATATTATCTTCATCTTCACATAGATTTCAAGGATGTGGTGAAGGATAGACTGGGGAGTCAGCAACCAAAACCACATGTTGCTACAGCAGTTTGGCATACAAAAAGCATGCCAGTTAAATAAAGAGAGGAAGTGGTAAACAGGTTTCCTGAAACAGTCTTCAAACCATGCGCACACACGCACAAACAGAAAATAAATAAAGCACTAAATCAAGTATATAGGACAGTTAAAGTTGTATTTTAACTTGCACTGAGTAGGACTGCTTTCCCCTTCTTCATGTACCTTTCATGTACCTTTTCACAGTCCTTTACATCCACCTTAGCAGCTTGTGTGGTTCCTGAAAACAGAGGTCTCTCCATAGACCTAAATTCTAAGTTTAGGAGAGCCGGTGTGATGTAGTGGTTAAAAGCTTGGGTCTGGAACTCAGGCGATCTGGGTTCTAGTCCCCGCTCGGCCATGGAGCCAACTGGGTGACTTTGGGCCAGTCACAGACTCTCAGCCCAACCTACCTCACAGGGTTTATTTATTTATTTATTTATTTATTTATATAAACCATTTCTATGCTGCCCCATTTGCAAAATGCCTCGGGGTGACTTACAATATAAATAAACAATTATATAATTAGACTTAAAAATGGGAAACATCTCAGCATGTACATAAAAACCCAATAAATACAATTAATAAATTAACAATTAAAATAACTTTTAAATAAAAAGGTCTTGGCCTGGCACCGAAAAGCAAATAACGACGGCATCAGGCGGACCTCTCTGGGGAGCGCATTCCATAGGCGGGGCACCACCACAGAGAAGGCCCTCCTCCGGGTACTCACCCTCCTAATATCTTTCACGGAGGGTTGTTGTTGTGGGGATAAGATGGAGGAGGAGAATGATGTAAGCTGTCTTGAGCCCTTTGTAGGGAAAAGGCAGGATATAAATTGGGAAAAAAAAGTTACATTAAGATCCACCAAGTTAGCCATACAAGGAGGTTGTGTAATTCAAATCCCACTGTCTGTGGTTTTTCTATGCAACTGGAAGTTGGAAGCAGGCCTGAATGCATTCCATGCTTCCACAATTGCACTGCTCATCTTCAGAATATATTATCATGTACAAAAATCAGTGCAGCAAGAACGTGGGTTTGAAGAAAAAGGAGAAGTAGGAAGAGTGGAAGTAGGAAAAGATTCTTAGCCATTATAATGAGGGCTTCAAAACTTCAGTTCGCTTTGTTTTTAAAACAGAAACAACCCCACCCAACTCCAAAGGTCTAAATTTAATACAATACCTAATGAATAGTCAAAACATGTCACTATACTCAAGGTTTTTCACTGAAAATCTTTTAGCACCTACCACAGCCTTCCCAAACGTGGAGCTCTCTGGGTGGTTGGGCTACATTTCCCATCATCCTTCATGACTGACCATGCTGACTGGATGTGATGGACATTGTAATCCAAAACAACCAGTTTGGGAAAGATTCAGCTAGCACATGCTCTTACATATCCCCTTAACATTATCACCTTCCTGGAAATGTATGCTCCAGTTATCAGTAATTTCTTCTTAAAGATAAGAACATTTTCCTCAAGACTGAAGTCAGCCACCAAATACAGTTAACAGTCTATGGAAGTGATAAGCCTGGTTTGTAGAATTAGATGAAGAAGAACCTTCAGAATTTCTGAGACTACCCACTAGCAATGGCAGTATGCCTGAGGCATTTTTTATTTTTTTATGTAGGAAAGTTCCAATGAGTATGCTGTATTAATACAGTTATTGTTCTTGATTGGTCTCAGATTACCTTGGAAAGGAAAACCACACTTGCATTTGAAATTAAAAATACAGCAAACTAAGTTCACCCACTGCATAAAAACTGTAAAAGGTCATGTGAAATGAAAAACTTTTTGTACAGTATGGTAGCCCTTTTTCTGGAACACTGGCCATATATTCCATAGCCAAGCTACAATCCCGATCATTACACAACCTACTAAGTCAGGGGTCTCAAACTCAACTTACCTGGGGGCCGCTGGAAGTAGAGTCTGGGTGAGGCTGGGCCGCATCAAGTATTCCACCACCGCGGCGGTGGTGGGCCGCTTATCCCGCGTCGCTCTTGGAGGTCGGCCCGGGCGCTGCTGGCCCTTTGAAGGCCGCAGGGCCCCTCCCCCGTGCCCCGCCCATCCCGGCAATTGGCCTGCGGGCCGCGAGTTTGAGACCCCTGTACTAAGTGAAAATTATTATAGCTTGAAGGTTTTGGAATTCTGTATTTTATGTATTCTAATTAGGTTGGTTTTGTTCAATTGTTTCCTTTAACTAGTTTAAAGGTAAAGGTTTCCCCTTGACATTAAGTCCAGTCATGCCTGACTCTATGGGGCGGTGCTCATCTCCATTCCTAGCCGAGGGAGCCAGCATTTATCCGCAGACGTCTCCATGGTCATGTGGCCGGCATGACTAAACACCGAAATGCACGGAACACTGTTACCTGCCCACCGAAATGGTACCTTTTCATCTACTTGCATCTGCATGCTTTCGAACTGCAAGGTTGGCAGGAGCTGGGACAGAGCAACGGGAACTCACCCCATTGTACAGATTCGAACCGGCGACCTTTCAATCTACCAGCCCAGCAGCACAGCGGTTTGAACCACTGCGCCACCTGCAGTCCCCCCTTAACTAGTTTAGGCCATGTTTAACTCTTGAGTTAAATCCAGACTTGGTCATACTCAACTACCAAGACAGAAGCCCTTGGTTGGAATAAGAATTTAGTGGGGAGTGTCATGTGAGGCCAGCATGCCAATGCTCTGAACACACACATCTGCAAATTTGTTTCAACATGATGCTCATAAGCTGTAAGCTGTGTTACATTTGAGAAGAGAAAACATTTCCTGTTACAGTTTTGCCTACTGCAGGCACATGATCTCTAAGATCTGATACAAGAATGACTAATGTGAAACAGGGTCCTCATTCCAGCTGCTGCCATCACACAAATTCCTCCCAGCTTCCATATGCACTGCCTGATTCTACTAGGCAAGCGCAACATATGTGTGTCAGGGTGGTGTGGGGCTAGGAGACCCAGGAACAAAACTCAAATAAATTTCTGAATCCCTAATAACAGCCTAGACTTTCCAGAGCAAGGCTTTGAAGACAGACCAACTATAACTTTAGCATATGGCACCAGATGCTTTAGATAAATGGTTAAATGTAGCCACAGATGGAATAGAAGGAGATTGCCACCACAGCTCTCCTTATACAACAATTACAAGCAATGGTAAAAGAAGTTGATAACACTGCGCCTACCATATGGAGTGTCCGGTTATCTGTTTATGCAGTTACAGTTCCCACTTGCAAACAAATAATTTGCAGGCGCTAGTCACACAGGAAGAAATATAATATGTGCCACTGAGCACACCAGAGCTAGCATGGACAGACAGGTCTCTGGCACTGCACCATGCTGGATCATCATATACCATGAGCAAGAGAGAATGAGTAGCAGTGATATTTACTTTCTTTCCTTAATGCACAGATACTGATGAACCCTACACACACATTATTTCCTGTTCACAAAGTTAAAGGTTGGTATCCTATTATTTGCTCATGACGACAAACATTGCCATGTGTACCTTAGATGACCAACCTATACACACCTAATAGTAATCTGAATAGGTCCTTCATGCTTACCTGATTCTTTCATTTGACATAGCAAAATTTCTACATTATGGTGCATGTGTCATTCATCACTAATGTCAGAAGCCTAAACTTACCCTGGCAGCAACCTTGAACAAATACATTCTGCATGCATTCACTATTACACTGGATGTGCTAACTGAGTGAGAAATCTTTTTTGCTGATGACATAACTATGAGCACTGAAAATGCACTAGCCCCAGTCCCCAAAACAGGCACTATCTTCATGAAAGAGCTGAATTCTAAAGAAATGGGTACAAAGGTTAGTAGTTGGATATATGCTGTGTGTGCAGAAGTCCTCAATTCAGTTGAAAGGATCTCAGCAGCATACTGGGAGCATACTCTTTCAGAAGCATTAGAGAGAAGTGTCCAGTCAGAACGTAGCATTAAGATAGTTTTAGCAGATGAGTATCAACTGCGCAACATCTATTGTGTGGTGAATGGGGTGTAGAAAAAATTTGGCTTTTGACTGTTCTTCAGGATACAATGGTGTGTGCATAACATTAAATTAGAATTAGGCTTCTGCAATAGAAATGAGGCCTTTATTCTGCTTATTCTTAATTAGTGAACTATTTGTTATACTTATAGCATTGCTTGACAAGTGCTTTCTTCTATCTTCTTTCATGTTAGGTTGTTAGCATTGCTGTCAACACTTACCGTTGTACAAAAGATACAGCTGCACTCTTGGAGAGTGGTCATCTTATCCAATGAATATTCAGATAGGCACAGTTTGCAAGTGACCAAGGGTTCTAAGGATAATTCACCAACTTCTGATATTCCAGTTGTCATGGTGTGATAGCAGATCTTACCAAGAGAGGCCATCAACTTAGCCCACCAACTCTCTAAAAATATAAATAAAAATAAGTTGCTAGGGATAATTCTGCAGGCCAACATTCAACATAGAATATAGTTTAGAAAAAAATTGCTTATTTATTCATTAGGGTAGCCTGCCAATTAGAATGGCCACTGCTGATCTAAGTATGTCTTATGAGCACTAACAGCCTGTGCCCCCCTTGTTCTAGAGAAATAAGCAATGCAAGCTGGCCAAGAACAATTTTTTTTAATCCAGAGGTGTTCATAAATATTCCATAGAGTTTACTGCAAAGTCCACCACTATTTAGTATATTTTATTTGGATGAGAGCTTGGACAGAATATTTAGGCAATGAGCATGCCTAAGCTGAGGAGTAGTAGCAAACATCTTTACTGGGTTAGCTAAAAATTCAAGATGCTAAACTGGACAGAAGGAAGCAGAATGCTGTATTATAACACAGACCACATGCAAGAACTTAATGGGTTTAAAATAACTTTCTAAACAATAGCGCATATGATACTGTGAACCTTTCATAATTTTGGCTATTTTAAGGATCAAGAAGCAATCTTACCACTGGTCTGTCCAGATACCACTTCTTTTAAAATCCTCTTCACATTTCTGGACTCACAATACTCATTGATTAGAAAATAAGAGGGATAAGAACTAGGCCAAGGATCCAAAAATTTTGGCTGGCCATAATAACCCTCAGAGTGTCAGAAAAATCTCTGATTTATTCACTGAACGTCAGAGGCAATTAGAAGCACTGAGACTTCCTGCTGCTTTTAATTGCCTCCAAAACCCCTCTCATAATAATTAGTTAAGGTTAGAACTGGTATTTTAACAATTACCAAAGCCCTCAGAACAATGCCTTTTAGCCAACTCAAAATTCTATTTGCTATAGCAACAGTTATCAGTTAATAATCAGCAATGCAATGATGCATCAAGAGCTATCTTTATATGAATCTGCATTTTCAAATCTGATAACTCAAGAATATAAATGTTGTCTATGTTTCATCTGTATTCCTACAAATTCCTTCTCCAATTTGCTGTGTTTTGTTGTAAATGCTTTTCATTTCCTTGTCTAGTAAAGTCAGCAATATATATAACACATTTTAAACAATTACAAGTGGCATACTAAAAGCTGCAGTGTCCAGTTTGATGTAAAACAAGTTTATTTCATTTCCAGTGGTCAGGCTAGCCATTTTCAGGACAAGAAAGGGCAAGCACTCCAGTTGCTGCAGGCAACCATCTTGCTGAGTCTTCAAAGGCCCCATGTAGTTCTTCTCATGCTCTGAGAAGAAGTCAGGCAGTGGTAGCAACCAAACAGGAAACAGACCGTTTCTATATCCTTTCTATATCCTTTTAGTTCAGCATATAATCTTTCTCTTTCACAGAGCTGAGCAAGAGAGGTCAGTAACCAGCATAGAGACTTTGAAGACACCATTCAGTATAATACAATGCTTGTTTACTCAGAATGGGTAATATTCCAAGGTAGCATGTTCAGGAATGCAACCACAATTAGCTGAAATGCCACAAAAAGTCAAATGAGTGCTAGATTGAGTGGCAAGCAGAGGAGGGAGAGGTATTCTTAATTCTTTAAAATGCTTAATTAAAAAATATAAGACAATACTATTGACATTACATAGTATGTCACAGAGATTTTAATCAATATAAACATATCACCCTTGGGTGAAGTAAACAGAAATGCCATTTCATTTTCCAGACCCTCACATTGTCCACAGTATCCTCAGCACTTCTGTCCATTCCGCTCAAGAGAAACACTCTGTTCACTTGTCTTGGCAATCTCTGACATTGCTGAAGTGCCTGAATGCATTTCATAAGCAGCAAAGCATAAACATTTCCTCAGAGCAGCAAAAGTCAACAGAAGATTAACAGACAACCAGCAAATGGTAACAACTTCAAAAACCAGAAAAATTGCATTGCCTTTAAGATGTCACTAAGGTTCAGCACAGTTGAGGGGCTTCCCTTTGCAAGGCACTATTTTCCCACACTAAAGAAAGGTTTCGGTCCAAAATGCAATTCTAGGTGTAGCCAAGAGCTACTGCATCCTGGAAAGTTTAACTTTTTTCATATGATCAGCAGACTATGATGCTATATCAAGCTGTTCTGAAAGTGCCCTCAGTTTCAAAAATAATTTGCAGTGTGCCCTGGGGGAACTACTGTTGCAAAAAACCAATCCAAGGCTCCCATCAGACTGACAGAACCAGAGGCACATTTCTTTTGAATCCTGGCTCACATCTCTAGAACATGCTAAATTAAATGTGCTCATTTTCAATGAACGATAGCAACCACTGGGAAGAGGATCTTTGAGCACGTATTAGGATAGTTATATGAAAAAGAGGCAAGAACAATCTCTCAAAGTATCAGTTCTCACCCTTTTTATCTTTGAAGCATCATATGGGAAGTGCCTTTAAGACTTCAAAGGATAACTTTTTCAAAAGGAAAGGGGAAAGCACAAGTGGTGAAAACATTTGTTTTTTTCTTACCTCACCCCCTCCTCCACACACACATGAAGTTCAGCTTTCATAAAACAGTACAGGGAGCAGCCAAACAAACAAGAATTTATTACTAAAAACTGTAGCCAACAAGAATGTATAGTGCCAGCAAAGCTGATTATTTTTCCTTCTCTTAGATATGACCAGGAAAGGCTCATATGGTTATAAAGTTGAAGACATTCAACTTTCTTTGCTGCATTTATACAGTAAATTCACTACAGTATATAATTTAAAGATCCCTAAAGCAAGTCTTCATGTACTAAAAATTCAAAATAAACCTTACAGTGCACTTAAAATTGTCATGGTTTAGGCCCCATATGTCTGCATTCTTTCCCATACTTCCTTGCACTCAGCACCAAACAGACATTTCATATAAAAAGCCTTTCTCCAGAAACACAATAGAATGAGAGGTGTAAGTATGTTCTTGTTAAACTTACTGACATAATATAACTTACAGCAAGAATTAACTGGGAACATTGCAGAAATTAATAAAATTAAACAGTCTAATGACAGCATTTGTAATTGACAACAGTATTTCTTCCTTAGAAAAAGCTATTGCTCTTTATAATTCTTCATCTGTAATATTTATCCATGATCTCTTGCTCCTTTTTCCAAACACACATGGAATTCTCTGATGGTTTCCCACCAAAAGCTGGCTAGTCTCAAACCTGCCTGTGACAGAACTGCCTGAGGTATCTTCAGAATATTGTCTAGGTGGGATTCTAACTATTACAGCTGTTAATTTTAAAACTGGACCTGCAAAAGAAAACATATCAGATAAAACTAGAACTTAACTACAGGACTTAGGTTAACTTAATCTGTAGACTCCATAAGACTGAAAATGTAGGCACATTGTACAAACCTAAGGAATTCTTTATTTTATTAAGTTTAGGAACTTCTCTATGCTCTGTGTAGCTTTCTATTTTTTACTATCACCTTTTATACAGTTTAAGGAGCCTCCCAATATAATATCCTAGGATACAAGCAAGTCAAACAAACACTTGAAAAGCAGTTAACAAACAGGCATTATATTGCTTACCAGCAAGAAGGCACAACTAACTCAAAAAAGAAGGAGGTGGGTAGAAAGCTGCAGTATAGCGTTTTTCTGCCATCAAGGGTGCTTCCAAACAAGGTTCGGTTTGGTTTGGTTCAGTTTTTCTTTTCTTTTCTTTTGCTAGTTCTAGGACATCTTCATCTGGAAGCATACAAAGATATATGTTATACACAATATCTGACATCTGAGAGATAATTATCCATTACAACTTCAGAAATGCTCTAAAATGTAAATGCTAATGTTATACTCTTAAAAGCTTCCAGTTTATATGCCATTTCAAGAACTAGCAAAGTGGGGAATAAAACCATTTTAAGAGCTACTACAGATGTTTAGCAAAACACTTCCCTCCTGTCACAGTGTGACATCTGTACTAGTCATGTGTGCATAAAGAAGAGCCTTTGAAGGACTCCCATTTCCCTCCCCAACTAAAGGCTAATAAGTGGGACAGAGATTTTAAGGTGCTACACCATCTAGTATGCTACATTGTGCTATGTAGTAAATGACAGTACAAGCCCATAAATGAAGAGGTGATAAAATAAGGGAAAAAGATAACTAGATGTACACTAGATCAACCACAAAGATCAAGCTTTTATTCAAGAATCTTCTATACCACCTACTAAAATCAATTAATAGTTCTACTAGAAGACAAATGAATCTTTATAGTTTGAGATTGGAGCATTTTAATTGGTCTGCTGAATTCCATGAAAATCTCAGATTATAAATATTTGCACCTTTACACAGTGATCATACAAACATGATGAACATCAACTCTCATTCTCATATTCTCATCTCTAATCAAAACAAGGCTATCAAAATCAAATGTCTGCCAAAAAAGAAAAAAATCTACAAAAACAGTTTAGCAAAAAAGTCTAAATGCATAAGTAAAAACAATTTGAAAAATGGCCTCTTAATATGGAGGGCAATTTCTCACAACTGGTGCTGACATGCTTAGGGGATCTAATGGAGAGCTGCAAAAGCAGAACCTTGATGGCTACATTTGAAATGGACAAAAATAATACCATTAGGAAAATGAAACTAGCAAACAAGATTGAAAAAAATCCCACATTTGGACATCAGCTCTTATAATATTCCCTTGTGTTTTGAAAGACAGCATCCTTTTCCGTGAAAGACAGTAGGATTAAAAATTAATAGCAAACTCTAAGCTATTTGGCAAACTGACCAAATGTTTGTTAATATTCAACTACAGTGGGTTCTCATAAATATTACTCATTGATAGTTTAATATATCTACCTGACATTGAAAACAAAAGCCAGAACACAGATATTACCACTTTACCTTATGATTAACGGAAGAGAACAATAATGTCCACAAAGCATGCCTACCTGTTTTACGTCATGCTGTAAAACATGACGCCAAAACCCCAGTTGCTCAGAAGCTTGTTAGGGATTCCTCAATAAGATCATTGGCTAGCAGAGCTTTTTCATCTAAACATGCATAAGGTTGTTAAAACATGCACATCTAAACCCATGCATACATTTCCAGTCCTATCCATGTCTAATCCTATGCATGCCTAAACCTAATGTGCATAAGACTGTACATTAAAGAACTAAAAAGCCTGAGAAGTTAAAAAGAACTTCAGCTGACACCAGAAAAATCACAAAGGCCAGGTGAGCCTTCAAAAAGGCCTGGTTAGTAGTCATCTGCTTCACCTTATTAGATGGGAGCACCTGATGAATTTAGGGTCCAGACAAGTATATACAAGAGGAGCCAATTGTTCAAATATTCTCAGCCTAAGTTGTTTAAGGTTTAAAAAGTTATTATCAGCTGTTTGAATTGGGTCCAGAAATAGACAGGAAACAAGTGCAAATGACAGAGGGAAATATGATCCTGTCAAGCAGTCCCTTTTAACAATCTCACTGCCTTATTTTGAGCCCGCTGAAGTTTCTGGACCATTTCAAACAAAGCCCTACATATAACACATTGTGATAGTCCAAGTTACAGTTTATCAGTGTGGTGATAAGTGTAGCTAGGCTCTCTCTCTCTCTTCAGTTGGGGTTGTACTTAGTATCTATTAAGCTCAGAAAAGATGCTCTGTGCTACCGTTTAAACTTCAGTTTAGGCATTTCAACTGTATGTTGAACTGTCAACTGTATGTAAAATACAATAATTTTAACACAGTTGAGCAAGAAACAAAACAAGATACTATGAGTATGCCATATGATATAAGAAATCAAATTGTCATTAGTTATTATCATAACTAAATGTTCCCTCCCTCCCCTCAAGGCCACTTACAACTTAAGCAGTCATCAATTTGAGAGTGTGCCCAGGTTTTAAGATTTTCAGGACAGGTGCAGCAGAAGCAACAAAGACACACTCCCCTTCTCCAGGTCCTGCCATACCTCATCTAAATAAGACCTTTACAGAGCATTTCCAAACAGAGGTTCCAGTATTTATGAAGATGTTGAACCCTAACCCTCTTCACAAAATATCAGAGCAGTTGGGCAGTTCATATGAGAGTAGACAATTCTTTACACAAACTGTTTGGAACCAGAATGTGCTTTTGAAGGCAAATACCAACACTTTGAATTGCCAAGGAAGTCTATGCTGTCACATTTTACTTCAAACGAAGAAGTTATTCAAGATGAGGAAACTAGTAAAAAAAAAAGAATTTTAAAGGGAAAGTAAGGAGGATCAAATCTCTCCAGAATGTTCACAGAAGCTCAGCAAGAATACATACTATTTTAGAGATTATTTAGGAAACTGCTGATGTCATATAATGCCTTTTATAAATTTGTAATATAGTCATATTTGAAACACTGGCTGGCTCTATACATCACAACAAGCAATCCTGCATGGTCCCTATGGCACATGGGTTTTTGCCTGGATATGCATGACAAAAGATTAAGTGGTTTCTATACTAGCATGGTTTCCACTCTTGTTATTCAGTCTTCCCACTGTTGGCATGTATCCAAACAGCCACCACACCTGAAATTCAATCCATGCTGGATGGCTAGAGCAGTACCTGCAGCAGCCATCACTCTTTCCAGGAGATTCTGTGGTAGCTACACACCAGGACCATGGAAACCACATTACTAGGTTCAGATTACCAAAGAAACCATGGTTCAGCATGGAAACCACAAAATAAGCCAGTGGTTCTTACCATGGCTTCTAAACACCAAACATACCTTGTTGAAATACCACATCAGAGTTCAGATGGCAGAACAGCCCATCCTGTGCAAGGAACCACTGTACACTGTTGTGTTGTGCAAACCTACTCACTACATGTAGGTTTGGTTACCACATCAAAAATAATACTGTAAAGCTAGAAAACTGCAACACAAATATTCAAGGGGTTGGATTAATTCCAATATGAGTAATGACTAGAATGTTAGAAGCTTTCACTGGGGGGGAAGACATAACAGAATTATATAAAGTTAAACATGGTGTGAAGAAATTGGTATTCGTTTTTCTGCCTCCTCCATTATATTAGAAGCCAAAATCATCAATAAAGCTAACTAACAGGAGATACAGGAGAAGCAAAAGGGAGTATTTTTTTACATGGTGCATACTTAAACTGTGGGACTTGCTATCACAAGATGTAGTAACAGCTACCACCTCCCTTATGAATGATTCATACCATACTCTTCTAAATGCTTCTTCATCGTTCCCATGACTACACCAAAGGAACAGAGATGCAGCAATAAACCACTTCTGAGTTTCCTAATATTGAAAAGTCAATACTGTTAAGTAGGAGTGAGTGCGGATACAAAAGCTCAGCACACTCTTTTTTAGCTTGTGAAACTAAAACTACAGTGTGATCATGCCACTTTCTAAGTGGAATAACTGCCACCCTCAAAAGGCACAAAGGGTCATGCCGAAACATTGCCACTCCAAAGCAATGTAAAGAGTCTTGCACTAGTCAGAAAATGTGCCACCAATTTCAAAACTTAAGGACAATATTCTTCTTAACCCACCAAGCTGTGGCAGATATACAGAAACAATCTAAGAACCATCTAGAAACTGAACAAGAAATAAAGCAGCTGGTAGAACCAGGTCACTTTTTGCAAAAATCATCAAGCTATCGGCTTTCCTTTTGAAAACAGAGCAAATTTCTAATACACATATTTTCAGAAAGCACAATCAGGGAAAATCCAGAAAACTTCAGCTTCTCACTCATAAGCATCCAGTCATGCCAAATGAAACTGCTGTTATGCTACAGATTCTTGCAACAAATTCCTGACTGGCCTTTAGTCCCTCTCTTATGCCCCCATTTCTCCATGCTTTGCCTTCTATCTTAGTTCTGCCAAATAATAATATTTGTATTATTGCAAAAACATACATAAATCACCTATCTCTGATATTATTTTTCCATAATATAGAAGAAAATGTGCATTCTTAACAGTTCACTCTTTTTCTTTTTTTCTTCTACAGAGTCTTGTGTTTCTGGGCTTCTTTTGGTTAGAAACTGTAGCATCAATTACTGTAGTTCTAATCTAAAACACACATGTGGAAGAAAAAGTTATCCAACCACTGCAACTAGAAGTGAGTTTTAGGTAATAGAACTCATAGCCACAGCTCTTAATAAAGTTCTCAGACCACACCAGACCACACTACTAGGCAATGCTGCCTCAGCTATAAAACCTTTTAACTGCTGCCACCGGAATAAACCCTTGGTCCCTAGATGAAATCCAGTAGTTTCTGATTCCCATAGCACAGTGATGGGGTTAACACTACCACTAGATACAGCCTTTCAAAATGAACAAAAGATATTCATATTTATAAAAGTGAATAAAATGTTACTGTTCCAGTAACAGGTTGAGGATGCTTAAAGACTCTTAAATTTAATAAGGTTGCTTATCATTCCAAAATTTTCCCCAGCTAAATAAAATTTCAGTAACTTTTCCTTCAGATCAGATTTTTTTAAACTCCGTCCCACAAATAGAAACAGATACTATATACCAACCGCTCTTCCTCTGCCATCAGTTCTTACTACTTCTTCTTGAATCTAGTATGACTCAGATGTTTTAGACTATTACTTTAGTTCCCTCTTGTCAAATATAAAATGGAAACATAAAATATGTTATGTTTTACTTTTTTGCTGATAAAACTACGATGCTTGGTATATTACATTTTAAAACATAGCTTTATTTAGAGAATAGTTACAAATGTATTAGTTGCGGAAATGGTCCTATCGGTTCTGATCCTATGATTGTAAGCCCCTGCATCCGGAGGCTTGTAAGCATCCTGTGCAAGACAGGAGAAGCGGTGGAGATGATTTGGTTCTCTACCCTTCTGTCCTACATTTTTTTGCCTGTCTGGTTGGGGAGCTTCAGAAGAATAGGGAAGGAAGCTAAAGAAGCTCAGCACTACTTGTATGCTAGTCTCTCCAGTCTTCCCTTCCCCACCAAAAAAAATCCCCTTCACCAAAATCTCCAAAGTAAAATTTCTGAACTCAGAGAACAGCTAGGACTGTTCTTTCCACACTAAATGCAAGGGAGGCTTGGAGCTCCAATTCCCTCCTCCAAGGTTATTGCACAGTTTCAGATCAGGAAATCTGAAATATCCTATGATGCCACAGACATGTAAAGGGGCTACAGCATTTTACTATTTGTTTTCTAATATAATTTTATGAACAAAGCAAGTTCTACCGAATATATGTTCCTAATTGGCCTCCCCAACCTTGTATCTAACAGATGTTTTGTGTAGTCTTCTATACTATTGGCCATATATACTATAGCTGATGGGAGCTGAAGCCAAAATATCTAGGGGGTACCAGGTTGAAGAAGGCTGTTTAAAACAATTACGTGACTGGAGATCTATAAAGATCTCTAAAATTTAAAAGTACTGTTTATTTCTTATTTTTTCCCAATATTTCTACTTTTCCTAGTAAAAACATGGTTTGTCTGATTGATTTTTCTACCATGACTTTAAAATGTCCAAAAATCTTACATCTCTAGTTTTGCATCAGATAACTTGGCCTAGAACCAAGACCCAATCAAGCTTACTAATTGTATTCCAGTCAAAACAGTGAGAAGGGAAATCTTATAAGCCAGCTTGGGTTCCTTACAAGAAGAAGACAGGCAAGATATAAATGTACAAGAAGCAGCAGCAGCTGCCGCCCATAGTTTAGCAAGAACAAGAGAGCAGTTCAGGTCTCAATATACTAAAGCCCTTAATATCTCTACAGCTTGGATTATGAATTTCACCCTTGTGGTTTTACCTCTGGTCACCATGTTGCCTGGAATTTACTACTTCAGTCTGGCACACTTCCACTGAAAACAGTGAAGTAAAAGTCAAGTCTCAGGAAAACTAGAAGTTCATTCAAGGAGTGAACAGACAAGACACACTGCTCTGGGAGGAAGTTAATGACAAAACCCAATTAATGATCCATACCAAGAAGAACAAATCCATTCCTCTGAATTTGCCTTAGAACTGTCAGGAACAAAACATGTAAAACATAAAACATGAAGCTGGTAATTCTGTCAACAAGAAATAGAGATGCTGACAGGTCATAGAATCAAAGACCAGAAAGGCCATCAAATTCAACCTATTGCTCACTGCAACAATCCACTTTAAAGCATCCCTAACATATGGCTGTCCAGTCTCTGTCTAAATACCTTTAAAAAAATCCCTCTTAAAGTGTGGTGACCAGAATTGGATTCTGCATTTGAAGTGAAGTCTGACAAGTGCTGGATTTAGTAACTATACTTCTGTTGGTGGAACTTAAAAATGCATTTTCCCTTTTTGTAGCCATATCACACTGCTGAGCCACATTCAGCCTGTAATCAACTAAAATCCCACATGTACTTTGATTATCAACAAATTACAGATTAATAAAAGAACAGAAACATTCAGGCAGTTAAGAATGTAAGAACACTGAGCTCTTCACCATTCCAGAATCTTTGTCAGGTGATCAGAGAAACCATGTCTGCTCTCTGCTGATTGGCTGCAGAATAAAGCATAGTGGAAGCTACAAAATAATGAGAATTCTAGTGAGAAAGATCTTGGATACTATGCAAGGACTAACTTTTCATCACATCACACTCAAGCCAGCCATTAGAACTGCTACTCCGCAATTGCACATTCAAGCCTGCAACAATTCAGCTTAAAAGACCCCTTGAAAAAACAGCATAACTATTCCCACTTACCACCACAGCCTTATACAGATAGACAAACAGGACAGAGATTTATGCATGGGGGTTTCACACCTGCCAGGGCTTTTTCTGACCTGCAGATATAGTGAATCCTGTACAGGAGCCTGCACAAAAGATACCCCAATATAGATAGAACATGTGGTCTGAAGCTTACAGAAATAGAAGGTAGGAACCACATATTCAGAACCTATATGCATAATAAGCCCCCTTGCAAAAGTTCAAGGAATGATGGGCATAGGCCTGACACCAATTCTTTTCTTTCCAAGTATACACTTCTTTCTACCCAGTTTGCCTATCTGCTCAAGGCAAGAGGTGTAAAGCAGAAGAAATTTCACAAGCACAGACCTCATGGGAATAGAGATTGAAGGAATGTCTTCAAATAACTTGGCATGGAGTATTATGGAGAAGTCACGCTATATCATTTCTTTAAAGCTTTTACGCTATTTAGCTTAAGTTAACAACTGACAAACACTTTATTATACAAACCCTGGAAGGAAAAAATCACTCACAGCAAAGCACAAAAGCCACTTTCTACTGACATTCCTGTATAAAGATACTGTAATATCCAATTATCTAGATCTATACAAACACACAAACATATGGATTTCATTTGCTGCCTAGGACAAATATAATAATCTACATTAGAAACAGAAACCATGTATACTACACATTCAGTACAGTATAATACAGTGAATCCTAAAGTCTTAAAGCAATTATGAGAAACAAATGGTTATGTCAACTATAATCTTGTCAATTTTTCCCACACTAGCTACAGCCAGAGTTATACCATCAGGTACATGACATACACAATAAATGTACATATTTTCAAATAGATCCTTCTTTCAGCACCTTTTAGATCATCCTTTTACATAAAGGATAAACTGTAAGTTTCCATTTGGAGTAGCTAAATTTATAATAATCTCAAAGGATTTATATTTCTGCTTCCACACACATGACATGAATATTTTCAATCATATATCAGTATTTTTCAGAGTTGTACTAATAAAATCACCATCATGGTTATTTTCCCCAAAGAATTCAATTGTTACGTTTTTAACATTGATATTTCATATCTAAGAAACCCAGTTTTGCCTCAGCTGATTTTCTAAGAACTAGACTGCTTTCAGCTTACATTAAAATCATGTACCCGAAACGAGCTCTGACTACTTTAGCTCCCTTTTCCCTTAAAGCACTAAAAACGAACATTACATGGCCCCTATTTCACAGCTCCTGCTGTAAAGACACACAGGTCATTCCAGCATACCTTACCAAAGGAGCTCAGGATATACTCCCAGACGGTTGAATCTCCAGTAGCTTCACTCACACTTCAGTGCTCCCAAGACATGTCACGACTAGTGAAAAAGCACAGAGTCTAAAGAAACATATTTCATTTTTCCTGCCTTCTTCCAGCATCTGCAAGCTTTACACATTACAGATCTAAAAGAGAACTCATCGTTCAAGCCTCTCGTCACTCTGAAAAATAAGCTCCTCCCCACTGTTAGGAACATGTTGCCATTATCTCACAAAACACATGTCACCACACATATGCAGTAGCTGTGGGAAAGCTACACTTATTTATACAGGAAGCTAGAGCCACAGCACTTCCTACTTCCCATTTCAACTGCAGGTGATTGTTTTTAACCCTCCCTGAGCCTGATACATACCACAACTTGCCTTGTTGTTAGGAAAAACCAATTTCTTTCTGATTTCTGACTAGATAACACAGGAGGTCTAGCAAAATGCTCCAGTTGGGGATGTGGCTACAGATTTGATCCTAACATGCACTGAAAACCCAATTCCACACAGGTCCTGTTTAGGGTTGCAGTCTCTTATTTCCAGCAGACCACTTGAATCTTGAATGGCTACCCGATAGGCAAAAACACACAAGGGACATCATAAGTGGTGCATGTCACACATCTGTTCAAAGCAACAGAAAACAGGCAGAAACAAAAAATGTCAGGGATAAAATGATGGATGCTTTATTTCCAATATATGGTTATGGGAATAACAAAGACCAGTTACTGTATAGATTGTCTATGGCAATACATGCCAGTTTGTAGCATGAGAGGATGAGTTCTTTGGGAAGGATTAGCTTTAAGTAGAAAGCCCTGTAGCAATATACAGCTTCAAAAGTAGCAGCTGGATGAAATGTGCAGGGCTGTAAAGCATCATGATGATGAACACTGGTGTCATCCAGAAGACTCAGACAACTCCAGCTCCTTGGAGAAAGTTACAAAGGAACCAACAATCCTCATTCCCTTAAGTTAACAGAAATCCACAGGGAGTTCCACAGGGAGTAGAAGGAATGCTCAGTCCAGGAAAGACTGAGGCTGAAACAAAACTCTGATGGAAGATTTTAAGGAAACTACATTTCATTCAGCTATAGAGGAATACAGATTTTTGTTTCCACTGAGGCAGGAATGGGTAACCTCTGGCATAAGAGTTTTCCATCCAGCCCACCAGAACTGAGCTAGCCAAGGAGGAAGACTCCTTCTTCTATGCCCAGAACTGCTGCAGGAGAGAAGGAACTCTATGACTGGATTCAGATGATTTGAGAATCCATTATGTATAAGTAGCCACAGTGGACTGTTGTGTTGTACAAACCTGCACTGTATGCTGCAGGGTGGTTAGTTTGTGGGCAACAATCCACATTGCCATCCCATAGTTTGTTCTAGAGGTTGTGGGATCCATACTGGATTGCTGTCTCATCTGAACCCAGGCAACCAACTCCAGTGTAACTCCAGTGAAGTGACAAACGAGCCCCTTGCTGCTCTTACCAAGGTCAAATGGGCCACCACAAATAACAGCTGCTCCACCAAATGTCCAAGTAGTACTTTAGAGCAAGCATCACTGACTCCCTCACCCCACTGCAATCATAATCTTTTCTGTGGTCACTGCAGCTGTTTCCTCCCCCACTTTTTTCCAGATATCATTTTTTAATGATTTGACAGCACCTTCAAAGTGCCCAAGTGGCACATTGGAGGGACCATCACTAGTTCACCAGCTTTTTTATCCTGCCACAAAGGGGCACAAATGTATCTGCTAATATATTCTTTTGGTTGGTAGTTTCAAGTTCCACTAACTGAAATATGAATTTTGTCATTAATATCCTGGGAAGTGTATGCTATCAAAGCATGCACCACCCACAGACACTGGCAAAGCCAGGATTCAAACACATTACTTTGCTTTCACTTGACAGCTGTCAAACAATGAGGTGTCAGGTAAAAGCAAAGCCATTAGCAGATCATTGCTTGTGAGGGGGTGGGAAGCAGATCATTTCCTGTATGGTAAAATTCCCTAGGTTTTAAGTGTGAACTTGACCATTCCCAGTGTCCTCCTTTTCCAATCTTCTGGGACTAAAAGTACTCAAGAAGGTGGAAAAGTGCAGCCCATCCCATTTATGGAGCTGTTAAAAGTAAGACATTCTTTTAAAGCGGGGCTTTTGGCAGGGCTAAAAAAGTTTTTGCTTTTGTCAGAGATATACCGTATTTTTCGCTCTATAAAGACGCACCTGACCATAAGACGCACCTAGTTTTTAGAGGAGGGATCCATGGAAAGCTTCCTGATAATCACAGGCACATTCCCCATCACTTCCCCATGGGCTTCATTAAAAGACGGGTTGCCATTTGAAAACACACACCAACCTGTGATTAACAGCTCTCACCTGTGCCAGAGGAGGGGGGCGGAGCAGGGCGCACCGAGTGCGTGCCAGCCAGGTGTGGTGCAGCTGGGCCGGCAGCGTGCCGGCGGTGGTCTTTCGGGCAGCGCAGTGGCGGCGGCGGCAGCAGCAGGTCTTCCTGGGCGGTGGGGGTGAGCACTCCGTCTCTCTGGGTGGCCGGCAGGTTAAAGCCCGCGGCTCCTCCTCCTCCGCACACCTCCCCCTGAGCGGCACAGCTCTCAGCTGCGCTGGGGGGGGGGGGCAAGCAGCGCGCGCCGAGCACGTGCCGGCCAGGTGGTGCCATGTGGTGCAGGCGAGCCAGCAGTGTCCCGGGTGTCGGGCACACACACATTCACTCTATAAGACGCACAGACATTTCCCCTTACCTTTGAGGGGGAAAAAAGTGCATCTTATAGAGCGAAAAATACGGTATATAATCATGAAACCTGACAGTCTGTCAGGCGTGGCCATGTCAGGAAAAATTACTCATTGTCAGCCCTTAGCAGGCAAGTAAACATTTTTGCAATCTCTCTCTCTCTCTCAAGGGATGCAGGTGGCACAGCGGTTTAAACTGCTGTGCTGCTGGGCTGGTTGATTGAAAGGTTGCCGGTTCGAATCTGCACGATGGGGTGAGTTCCTGTTGTTCCATCCCAGTTCCTGCCAACCTTGCAGTTCGAAAGCATGCAAGTAGATAAAAAGGTACCACTTTGGTGGGAAGGTAACAGCATTTTGTGCACTTCGGTGTATAGTCATGCCGGCCACATGACCACGGAGACTATCGGTGGACAAACACTGGCTCCCTTGGCTAGGAAACGGAGATGAGCACCGCCCCATAGAGTCAGGCATGACTGGATGTAACGTCAAGGGGAAACCTTTACCCTCTCTCTCTCTCTCTCTCTCTCTCTCTCTCTCTCTCTCTCTCTCTCTCTCTCTCTCTCACACACACACACACACACACACACACACACACACACACACACAGAGCTAAGCCCCATAAAGGGCAGCTTGGAAAATAAAGGTGCATGTGGATGTCTATTTGAATGGTTTCAGAGAATGGGGTACCCGCAGCTCCTTTGACCTCTGTCCACTGTTGGCACATGCTCCAGGAGGTTCCCTCAGTGGCAACCTGGCTCTCAAGCTGCAAATGCTTCAGCACTCCAGTATAAAGACTATTTTGTCTCCTCCTCCTAAGTCAACACTACAATAATAGCACAAGAGTAGATCAAAGGTACTTTTGAGTGTCAACTGTGAGAACTACCTTAAAAGCTTGTCATGTGACACCCCCCAAAAAACCACATGGTTTATCAAAAGAGGCCACAAACAAAAAGGAGGAAGAGTAGTTCTAGCGATATAGAACTGTGTATAGTGGGCAATCCCCAATACAAATTGGAAAAAGAAGGGGTAGAAACAAATATATGGTGAAGGGGCCTTTGGGGAGTCAGTGTGCTTTTTGTAAGGAATGGTGAGGATTAACTCTCTGTGTGTAAGCATGCTCTCTCACACACAAACCAATGCTTGTTATAATTCAACAGTATGAAGGCTACTGTGTGCAGTTTTTTGATGCATTTACAACTGCAGTATTTCCAAACAGATAAGAGTCATTTCAGGGTTTTTTTATCGGTTTGCTACCAGAAATCTCAAAACCATGGCCTACTCCTATTAAAGTATCGCTGTTACTATGTAGACGTGAAATTTTAATTATCCCCTTGAGCTAAGCCATAATTAAGCTTTCTTATATTTCTTTAGCTGTGAAATATAGCCTATCAAACAGAATGATTTAATTTTAAAAATTCACTATTAGGAAGCTTCAGCAATAACATGATCACTTCAACATGGGAACAGATGCAAGTGAAAAATTATATAGTGATTATTCTATATTATCCCATCTCAAAAACCAGAATTGTATAGATGTTACTGATGCATTTCCTTCTGAATATTGGATCTGTTAGATATGATTAATGTGAATAAAATGAGCTAATGATTTTGCTAATGTGGATACAATAAACACCAGGAAAGGCATTCTGAAAGTAAACAACCTGGTTAGCCTTGATTCAACATTGCCTTTCAACCAGGACTGGGCCACACATGCCAATGGTGCGGGATGTTGGGGATTGTAGGCCCAGATATCCAACAGGGCAGCACCAGCCTGCCTTAATCTATAACTTGGCAGTGAGGAATGTGTTGCCTCCAGATGTTGGACTGCAGCCTCCATCATCTCTCATCCTTGACTTTGCTGGCTAGGGATGGTTGGAGTTGCAGTCATCAACATCTAGAGGGCCACTTGTTCCCCACATCTATTAAATACTTTTTCATTTGCTACACTAAATTCAGGAAGAGAGATGAATGATCCTGCTTTTCTCTCCCTTTCCATGAGTTCTTTTCACTTGTTGAGAATGTGTGCTTCAAGAAGAATGCTCTTAGTGCTACCAATTAAATGGTGTTGCACAGATATTCTGTTTTTCCTTCTTTAAAAGTTGTTTATACAATAAGAAAAACAATGGGAAAACATGGACAAATTAGAAATGGAACATAATGTCATCTGAAACTAGTGTGGTGTGGTGGTTAGAGTGTCGGACTGGGGACCTGAAAGATCTGAGTTCTAGTCCTCAGTTAACCATTAAACTCAGTACTGACTTTGGGCCAGCTATGCACTCTCAGCCAACCTATCTCACAGGGTTGTTGCTGTGAGGATAAAATGGAGTCATATAAGCTGCCTTGGGTTCCTCACAGGTGGGATATCAATGCAATATAATACCACTTCCATAAAGGTCTGTTTGAGACAGGGCAATTCCACAATCTGGAAACACCCTAACTGTACTGACTT